AGGAGGAGGAGGAGGAGGAGGAGGAGAAGAAGAAGAATTCATACAACGCAATTCCATGCCTTACAATTAGCATTGCCCCAACTGACAAAAGAACACTCCGAAACATTCTCAGTTTCCCAGGAAGCACAAAATGCGACCTACAGATTGCACGGGCTCAGAAACTAGCAAACGACAAGATCTTTTGCTGACTATAACCGGGTAGCCATCCCCACCAAGATGAGGTGAGGAAAAGTCGTGTAAATTGCCTTTTCAAAGGCCCCCGACATTGACATATGATTCGAAGTCATAACCTTACGGTAGCAAAACCCAGAGCCTAACCACGAGACCACTGATAGTCAAATTCATTGTGACTCCCATTCTGTTTGGTGTAGCTATTGGAGTCTACAAGAAGGAGGAAAGGTTTACGCTAAATATTATTTTTTTTAAAGAAAAATAGAAAACGAAAATTGTTTTTAAATCACGACATATAATATATTACTTTGGCAGGAGAGTATGATGCTGGAGCGGGCCCACAAGTTTGAAGCTGAGAAAGAACTGGAGATGTTTGACACAATTAAAGGAGGACCAGGGTTTTCTTTAAAGGTAAACAATTGTTAAATTGTAAAATTTTGCGTGTATTTCCCCGTATAAAAAGTAGTTCAAATGTCATATAGATTGATAAGAGGTGCCAATTAGTAGTAGTGTTCGGAAACGTAGTAGTGTTTTGTCAAAAGAGGCCATTGCAGAAGCCAGAACAAGAACGTCTTCTTTTTCTTTCGAGATCAAATATCTTGACGTTTTTTACAGCATGTGTTTGCTATATTTCGACAAAAACGTTCGTACGCTATTTAACGACAAAGGCGTTTGAATGATATCTAACGACAAACTATCTTGCGACAAATTATCTTGTGACAAACTATCTTACGACAAACTATCTTACGAAAAAAAACATGTATATGCTATTTAAAACAAAAGTGTTTCTCTGAATGCCATCAAAGTTTAGTTTCAGTTTCAGTTTTAGTAAAAAGATTTTACAGCACTTGCATCATAGATATGCTACATAATTGACGGAGATTAGACATGTTACTTGAGTGTACCATACAAAGAAAAGAAAGAGGGGAGAAAAGGACAATGGATATTAAGATAGGAAAGAAGGAGCAAACCACACCACAGTACCCGCCAACCACCCACAAACCATCACAAAAAAGTTACGTGTACGTTAGTCTATATGCTTTCAAAGAACAGACATTTTGTTTTATAAAAGGACTGAGACGTCAGTCTGTACGCCAATTTAATATAGTAGAAATGTCAGTCTATATACAATCGCATGCCAAAAATGTTAATACCTATGCTATCTTACAACTTTAAAAAGAAACATTTTTCCCCACGCTATCATAAGACAAAAACATTGGTCTATTGACTGTGAAAAAAGATAGAAACGTAAGTCTATATATGTATCTTTTGACCAGAAAGTCAGTCTTACACCGGAAACGTTACTCCCTTCGCTTTCGTAAGACAGAAACATTGGCCTACTAACTATTAAAAGACAGAAACGTAAGTCTACATGTATCTACGCCCGGAACATTAGTCATATCGCTACATTAAAATCTCAAAGTTCTACCTGCTCAGTACCTAGTTTTGAGAAATTTGATGTTAAAGAATTGAGTTTCTTAAAAGCTTTTTTCGAATGCAATCCTTTGAATATCTTGATAACGACTCAATTTTGATAGAAGTGTTTTATTTCTGATCTCCTGAATTTAATGACTCAAAATGTCCAAAAAATGCCAGATTACAGAACTTTATAATTATAAATTTGCGATATGTCCACACTTTCGGCAGAAACGAAAACTGTAATGTTCTCTTTTCTCTGCCTTTCTTCTGACCCCGGTGGGGGACTTCAGGAACTGTTCTATCCGCCATTCGCTGGGATCCGTGCCGATCTCGCCAGGAGGATTCCTCATTACCTGTCGGATTACTCAGACGGTAGCAGCTCAATCATACGTTTCCCTTACTTAAAGACTCTAATACACGTGTGCTTCTATTGTTGCTTGTTTGTGTGCGTTTGTGTAATCGTTTGTTTGTTCGTTTGTCTATTTGAGCATCTGTGTGTGTCTTTGTTAGTCAGTTCATTTGTATATGCGTGTGTTTGTTGGTCTGTCTGTCTGTCTGTCTGCCTTTCTGTCTGTCTTTTTGTTTGTATATGTGTTTGTTTCTTTGTTTGTTTTAGTTATTAATCGATTTATTACAAGAAAGGAGCGGCACAGATCGTGTGATCATAGAAACCCAGTCCCACTAAGCATCACCATCGAAGGGATACAACTTAAAGAAGTTGAAAGGAATTTACATAGCTTTGGGGCAAGCTTACACATAACGGAAAATTGGACCTAGGAAAATTAAAATTCAACAGAGTAAAAATAGTATCACTAAGAAGAGAACAGAAACTGGGAGACGATGGCAACGTGGACATTATTCCAGAAAGCGTGTCGACATTAAGTTCATTAAAAAAAATGCTAGAACTTTGTTTTTAAAAAGCAAGTATGGGATTGGCTTCACCTTACTGCTAAGAGGAATAGAAATCCATATGATCACAAAAGGATTGATCCTAGAGTGAAAATCACAAACTGAAATTCTAAAATTTTCATTGATTTTTTTAATTTGGCACCTTATTCCAAAATAATTTTCCCTGGATTGTAAAACTGAAGTGTTTTTTATAAATTGCCTGATGAAAAGACCTTGTTTGACCAACATGATATTGTATTAGCCCCCCAAAACATATTCCAGTAACACAGCTCTATGATTTCTGTTGGTAACAGGAGAGACCACTTTCCTAGGAAGCTAACACAAAAGTTGCCGATTACGCTCTAATTTGACGGAATTAAGCTCTGAATTTTCACATTTATGTCTCTGGATGGTTGATTCGTTTCATCAATATTATTTTGAAATTTTTCATCAGAGTTCATTTTTTTTTAAAAGTATAT